CCTGTAGTCATATTACAGTTGGTCCTCACAATTAGTGCAAGAAAAACATATGTTTTTATGATAAAGTGATGTGCAGTTAATGCAAGACAGGAAGTCTGGGCAAATAAATCCATGATTTCCATATCAGCTCATAGCACATTTTGAAGGGTCTAATGAAGGTCCAAATGAATCTTAGCCTTTAGTTTTGTTATATTAAATTAACCAGCTGTTTCTTTCGATGGAATAGCTAATCATTAGTCAAGGATTTACACATTGGCACTGATGATGAGAACTAATGTTAGTTCACAAGTCAGACATATTCAGTGGCAAAACAGTCTATTTACTGTGAACATGTACAACTTGCTTTCCTGAACATAGCAGGAACAAGAAGCTGGCAGTTACTGTCTGTGCAGTATTCCAGCTGTCTCTTCCCATATATTCCATGGACATGTAAGACTTGATATTTCTCTTTCTTTTCAGTGTTCACCACAACATTTGTCACTCAGGCTTCTTGACTCTTAGTCCTAGCACTTTAAATAGCATAAATTGAGCCTGATGAGAACTTTAAGGCCATAAAATGTGAGAGAGTATTGATTATTTTAGAGCAGATCACCTTCCTAATCCAGTTTACCACACTGCCATGTGAATGCTTCTGCTAGCACAGGAGACTGGAAAAATCATAGTAAGGCTTATGCTGGCACACAGGGCCTGTGGATCTGTGCTGACACAGGGAATGGTTTCACAATGCAGCTTTGGATCAATTAGCCATTCCCTGCCGACTAATGCCATTCACAATACTGATCACTAAAATGGCAGGAAATCACCATGGCAAAGGAACAGTGAGTTTTTCCTGCTGGGTTAGTGGTTTGAATCAGTTTACTGTGTGATCAATTACATGGCTGGAAGCAAAATAAGGAGTGAGAAGAAAGCAGATAATACCTCCTTTTGGCATTGGTGAGCACTTAATTCAACTCAGCTGTATTCACATTCATTATTTGGGCTTCCTGAACTGGTTTAAGCAGTCCCCACAACTACCATCTTTTAGCTGCTCACTCCTGTCCCTGTGTTGCCCTCTGTGCTTTGTCTCAATTGCCAGAGCAGCAGAACAGCTTGGCAAACAAATGTGGCTGAAAACAAAACACCACGTTTTCTCCAGTGTTCATCCTGTTGGCAGGTGTGTGCCGAGGAGCAGTGTGAGTGTTGGGCAGATACAGGGGCTAATTAGCCTGTCACTGTTGCCAGGCTGTGGAACTGCTGTGCCACGGACAGTTCACCAGGTAATCTGCTAGTAGCTGTTGGCATATGCTGTTGACTGTAGTTTAACTTTTGCTAAGGTTCTTTCTTGTATTTTCCATTGTCTAAGAGCAGCTGTTTCTATGATATTCACTGTATATTTAGCTTGGACATGGGGCTCTGGGTTCAGGTTGGTCTGCTGGAGGCTCTACAGAGGGTTCTGGACAGGCTGGATTGATGGGCTGAGGTGAGTAGTATGAGGTCAACAAGGTCCTGCATTTGAGTCATGACAAATCCCTGCAGCAGTACAGGCTGGGGGCAGAGTGTCTGGAATGTGTCCTGGTGGAAAAGGACATGGGGGTGCTGGTTGACGGTGGCTAAACATGAGCCACTGTGTGTCCAGATGGGCAAGAAGGCCAATAGCATTCTGGCCACTATCAGAAACAGAGTGACCACCAGGACTAGGGAAGTGATTGTCCATCCGTACACGGCCCTGGTGGTGCACCTCAAGTACTGTGCTCAGTTCTGGGCCCCTCACTGTAAGATCACTGGGGTGCTGGAGTGTGTCCAGAGAAGGACAACAGAGCTGGGGAAGGGTCTGGAACACGAGTCTGGTGAGGAGTGGCTGAGGGACCTGGGGGTGTTTAAGCCTGGAGAAAAGGAGGCTGAGGAGGGACCTTATTTCTCTCTACAACTCCCTGACAGGAGGTTGTAGCAAGGTGGGGGTTGGTCTCTGCTCCCAGGCAACGAGTGGCAGGATGACACAAAATGGCCCTAAGTTGTGCCAGGGGAGGTTTGGTTTAGATTAGGAAAAATTTCTTCACTGAGGATGGTCAAGCACTGGAAGAGGGTGCCCAGTGAAGCTGGTGGAGTCATCTTCCTTGAAAGCGTTAAAAAAAATGTGGATGTGGCACTTGAGGAATGGTTTAGTGGTGAACATGGGGTGGTGCTGGGTTAACCATTGAGTTTGATGTTCTTAAAGGTCTTTTCCAACCTTAATGATTCCATAATTCTATTCCAGTGAGTGGAATTCAGTGTACGTAAAAGAGTATTTTAAAAACCATTGGAATAACTAAGATGACATTTACTTGCAAGTGCAGAAACTCTTTAATGCAAATTCTGAATTGAAGTGACACAGTGTATGTTCTCCTGTGCTCATGATCTAGGCAGCACTGATCTTGGTACAATGTAACATATAGAAAAGGAAAATCAGAATGTCAGTGAGGTATAGGTTTTGAACCTTTTAAGGTGGTTTTGTCCCCTTTGTCCTGGCTTGGTACTGGAGAACATTCTTCATATGACAAAATAAGTAGTTGAGTATTGTCAATGTGTTTCCTGTTATGTGCTCAGTATGCACTTGTACATTGGAGATGTTAGTTCCACATAACTTTTATGTGTCCCTTACTGGTACACTGCAAAAAATATTAAATGTGTAACATGAGTTCTGTGGATTTCTGAGTTACCTTTGTTGTTGTGAGGGTAGGAATGTAAGAACTGCAATAATGTTATTGGTAGACAAAGTAAGCATCAGAAGGAGCCTAAATAAGAGAATTCCTTTGGTCTTGGAAGTAGCGCTGAAAGGCACTTCAGATTTACATTATTGAGTACAACTTTTTTTCCTGCTTCCTGAATTTTGCGAGAGGATTAGATGCATGGAGTGCAAATGGACTTTTGTAATCTAACTTTTTTCCAGTGATAACACCCGTGCGGCTCCACAAGAAACAGCAACACATGGGAGTGTTAGTGCAAATAAATGCCAGCGTTTCATTTCTGGATCCCACAGCTCTGCCCTGAGTATGGACAGAAAACATGGGTGCCACTCATTGGCATAAGAGAGTGGGCAGGAATCTTTATTACAGACAGAAGACCAGCATAGACATCGTTGCTGTATCAAAGCTTTTTCCATGGATCTTTGGCACAGGATGAGCATGTTTCTTTGTCAGCACAAAGAAATGTGCTTATAGATGCCTGTGCATGTGTTTCATTTAAATGTAAGTGTGCATTTCTGGTGACCATCTGTACAAATCAAAGCCCACGATAACCATTAGCACATGCTAAATGGAGTTTGGACTGTTTATGACCCAGATTATACAACGTGATTGCTGGCTAATGGTCCTAAAGTCGATTTCTCCATGATGCCATTGGGTCTGTTCATACGTCTTTCTCATGTGTGTGTAGCAGAGAATGAAAGAAGCTTGGATTGCTCCTGTGTACTTGTGTGTAACTCTGTGTGTTATAGCTGAGGTAGGCTGACTCAGTGTTCTTTCTTTCAGGGTGTACCTGAAAAGCTTGGTGTTCTTGCTCCTTTGACTGGATTCATGTTGTAGCCACACCTTGAAACTAGGTGAATTTACTAGTATGTTAAGAATCAAATTAAATGGAAAAAAAGAAACAGACTGATAAAGCATAATTTCACTTGATGATTTTAAGCCTGAGAACAAGCTTTTAAATTGATCCACCACCAAATTCCATAAAACCAATGCCATATATTATTATTAACATTTTCTACTGAGGTTAATTGCCTGAAACTCGTAGCTGAAAATAAAGTAAGTACTTATACAGGATAAAAGTCACAATGTCTATGACATGTTCTAGGTGATACTGTTTGTGAAGCTGTTAAGTCTTTAATTTTTGGCAATGTTTGTAAGAAGCAGTGACTGAATGTACATGCCTTGCCTTTCTGTCAGTTATCATTATTGACTACATTGATTTTTGCAATTTAGAAATAGTGTTCCAGGCTCTCTGATTATGAAATCCATGCAGCAACACAGAGCCTATTCCTATCTTATGACTTGAGTCCTCAGTAAAGATAGTACACTTAGTGTAACCTCACTTAAAATGCTTCTGTGTTCTCCAGACAATAAATCAAACTGCATGGACCAATTTGAGCTGAAACACACATTTCTACAGGGGCAATCTCCCCCTGTAAAGCAGAACAGCTGAAATTCTACATCAGAGATGGGCACACTGGAAGTGTGTTTTGGGAGGCCTGCAGTTCATCTGCAGTCCTGGTGCAGCCCAAAGACATGGGCATACACTGGTGAATGAAGTCCAGTCTGAACAGGGTTGTACACATGACAAACACACACAATCAGGTTTTGTAGGTGTATGATTGCACATGGTAAGGGGTTAGTGATAGCTGAAATTACAGCTGTAAAGGTGCATGCTTGCACAGGCTCTGGATTTTCAACTAAAAATGCAAAAGAGCTCCAGATGTTGTGCTTCAGAACAGTTACAGAGCTGGCGGTGCTAAGAGGTCAGTACCAGAGAGCCCTAGTGACAAGACCATTTTTCTCCCTGTCTTTGTGGAGCAATGTATGAGTTGTGGCAGGGACTGTAGTCAAGAATAACAGATATTTTGTACTGATCTGTTTGTTTGTGATGGACCAGAAGATAAAAGGCTGAGCCATTATGGCATCTAAAATGTGTGTTACCTAGAAGTGTTTTAGGTATTTGTTAAATATCAGTAAGTTCATAACTGAAATTTTGTGCATATCCCAGCCTTTAGGCCTAGGGGTACTCATTTGGTTGTGGAGCACTGTAGAACAAGCTTAATTGTAAGTTGTCACTGAGTGTGCAGGCTACCATTCATAGGATTTGAGACTTGATATCCTGTATCATTCTCTAAGCCTCCAAGTCCCAGTGCTGCTTTTTCATGCAACCACTGCTGGTAAGGGATAGAAAGCTCCATATTCAGTTTACTTCTTGCTTCATTATCATCCTTTCTAAAAATTCTTTGTGTCTGTGCAGAAGCCAGAAGTTGGAGACCTACCTACTTGTCATTGATCATGGCAGGAGATGTGAAAAGGTTCACACGTATGCTACTGGAGTGCAACAGCAATGACAAGCTATGTGGTAAGATTCACAGATTCCTGTAAGTAATAAGCTTTCACATGCTGAGCAGGAAATCCAGCTTTACCAAAAAGTAGACTAAGCCCTTTACTCACCTCCACCTGCATCCCAGGCCACACAGAAAGATTTGATTGAGCTTTGCCTGCATTGTGTCTTAGGGGAGAAACTTTTTCAGGGATGCAGCCTTTTTGTCAGGATTTATCTCTCATAATTTTAACCATTTTAGAGAATCTCTGTTTTGAATGAGACATATGGTAGTCATTAAAAATTCCCTGCTGCTTCCCAAAGGACCATTTTTGTGAGATTTTGATTTCATGACTTTCTGTCATCTTTGGGAACTGAAACATGGTCTTGGCCTATGCAAAAATAGCATCACCTCCAAATACAGGCACATAGCACAGATACTTACCTTCATGAGCCTTGTTAATTGCAATGTCTTCCAGTCAAATTGCAAAACAGGTGGCCACACCCTGTTTTCTTTACAATGCTCTGTATAATTTTAATGGAAGGATCTGAAGCTGTAATTGCACATGTATTTGTGATGGCATAGCAATATCCAGCCTTTCCCACCTCCCTGCTATCCCTCTACCAGTGCTGGTTCTGTTTCACTGATGGATGGTACTTGCAAATGACTGCAATTCCTAACCTCCATATTAAGACACCTAAATAAGTGACCTTAGGTATGGGAGTCCCAGTGATTTCATGCAATTTAGGTACTCAGCGTCTTTGAAAAACAGGGTGACAGCACTAACAGTGCTCAGATGCTGTTCTGAGGTGCAGAGGATAGAACACATGCTTTTGGGGTTGAAAGTTACTGAAATGGATTGTTACTGCTTTATTCTGTTAATCAGAACCAATGTGCATCAGACAGTGCTGCTTATTCCTTGCTTTCCTATTTTCTTTCTCTGCTGCTAGTTGTGCGTGAACATCAAACTGAAGTGATTGTTGTCCCAGTTCTCCTTGTGGGTTTTTTTGTCATTGTGCTAACTGTGATCCTTTGGCTCCACTGTCGAGGCTTGCGAGCAAAGCAGGAGCGATCAGCAGCAGCTGGAACCCAAGGTAAGAGAGTGGTTTTCAACCAGAGGAAGGAGTGTTGGTTTCAGTGGTAAAAAGTCAATCCCATTTCCCCATTGCTTGAGCTGTTAGGCAATACCACTTATGAAGATCCTGAGTGGTATTCAATCCAGCGAACTTTAGAAAAACTGGGAACCCTGACTTACTCCACTTGCAGCAGTAGTAGTGAAATCTGTAGTATAGATGGGTCTGAGAAAATATAAAGCAACATACCATATAGGCTGTTTAACATACTGTGGTAACATCATGAGAACTACGAAGTGTATTTATCTAACAGCCTTCTAGAGGCTACTGCAAAGGAAAATTTTACTGGGGTAATTATGAATGACAGTAATTTTGGTATATATCACACCTAGGTAATCCATTTTCTATACCATAATTTAAGGAATTTAATTTCAAGCTGCTGTCTCCCACTGCCTATGGAGGCATAAAGTAGAACAGGGACTGGTGAGGGGGAAGAGAGAGCTTTGTTGGTATTGCAAACCCAGGTTGCTGTGTGGAAATGAAAATCTGGTTCTGAACTGATTTTGGTCTTGTAGGGAGAGCTTTGTTGGTACTGCAAACCCATGTTGCTGTGTGGAAATGAAAATATGGTTCTGAACTGATTTTGGTCTTGTAGAGCCTATATTAAGGGAAATAATTGAGGCCAAAGATAAGGCCTTTGTGGGAACAGCCTGTGCATGTCACTTTCATAGCAGCTAATAGTTGGTAATAAAAGGAAATGGTCATTGCTTGAGCACATGGGAATGAAGTACAAATGCGTCTTATTTAGAAAGTTTGCATAGTTAAATACAGGAGAAATTTCCAGACTGATTCTGCCTTTTCATCAAATAGAGTGGGAGATAAATTCCTTCTCCTTTTCAAGGACCAAGATAAGTAAGGTACAATAACAGTTCCTTACTTTGTCCTGATTTCCAAACACTATGGAGTGAAAATTAAAGAGGATAGAAGGCTGAGCATTGCCACCTGTTGCAAGAGTTCATCTGTCTGTTTTTATGCA